AAAAAAATGTGACTGTGTGTATTGCCTTAGCCATGAAAAACACAATAACTACATTATTGGGCTCCATCACTCACTCACCCTCCGTGACACCATGGAAACCACGAGTCTCTCCAAAGACTACAAAAGTCCATCTTCCAGCACCTGTGAGGCTCATTTCTGGGTCGTGTTTGTTAAATCTGAATGTTAGAGCTATGCACTCATTCCATTTCATTAGGTACACCAGTGCAAATTTTTAAATCAGCCAATCAAATAACTTTGTCTGCACGACTGAAAGCACCGTGTTGAGACAACCAGCTGAAGTTCAAACCGAGAATCACAACAAGGCAGAAAAGTGATTTAAATGATTTTGGAAAAGGTTTGATTGTCGGTGCCAGACAGGCTGGTCTTTCAGAAACTGTTGATCTGCTGGGATTTTCACACACACACAACCATCTCTGGAGTTTACAGAGGTGTGAAGAAAGAGAACATAACCAGTGAGCAGTGATTCTCTGGGTGGAAAAAAGCCAAACTACTTCAAGCTGATAGAAAAGCAACAATAACTCATAACTGGCTACAACCAAAGTATGTAAAAGTAAAAGAGGCAAAAGAGCATCTTTAAATGCACAACATGTTAAGCCTTAAAGCAGATGGGCTGCAGCAGCAGCAGATGAGCACGCTGGGTGCCCCTCCTCTCAGCTAAGAACAGGAAACTGAGACTCTAATTTACACATGCTCTCCAAAATTGGATAATGGAAAATTAGAAAAACATTCACATGGTAGGGGTCAGAATTTGGAGTGAACGAGCATGAATCCATCCCGCCTTACACCAGCAGGCCGAGCTGCTGGTGGTGTGGCACGCCTTTTGCCTTGTGGCACCAAATAAGCGTTGTTTAAACACCGCAGCATACACACAGATTGGTGCTGTCCGACCCTTCTATGTCTGATGGTTGCATCCAGCAGGATAACACATCATAGAACTCAAATCATCTGAAACTGGTTTCTTGGATTTGTATGGACTCTAATGTCGTCCAGAGTCCCCTTGATCTCAAGCCAACAGATAACGGATGTGCCAAGAAGAATCAAGGACGTCTAACCCTGTAGTAGCAAGGTGTACCTAATGAAATGTCCAGTGAGTGTGAGTCATTGAGTTTCACGTTTCTCTCTCGTCAAGCTTCTGTAAGTATTTGCTTGCTGTGGTAGCTTCAGGTATATAGAGATGCCTCCTTTTCAGGATTTGAGTGCAAGAATTTAAGTTTTATATAAAAATGTTACACATGTGTAATGACTGTAAATGTACAGTTTTTCTGCTAATTTTGAAAAAAAGCTTTATTTTTAAGTTACAGAATCAATACAACAGGTTTCATTTTAAAAACTGTTTATTCTCAACACTCAAAATAATAAGAACACATAAAAAATCCACAGCAACTAAAATAAATTTTTTTTACAGAAACTAAAAAGTTTTGTCCGCTTTATAAAAACACTAAAAAAGGCGACTATTATAATACCGTTTTAAACCCCGGTTTAAATGAAACAGTATCGCCTCCTTTTAGTGCGTCACTTCACAAAATACTCATCCTGAAAGTAGAACAACTTTCAATTTGAAATGACCATAATTCAGAAAATAAAACCTTGAATAACAGTTTATCGATTAGCAACAAGTTCATGAAGGTCAGTTTTTTGTTTTTATTTTTATTTTAAACGGAAAAGAAATCAGCGTTTGGAGCAGTCGAATGTGGACGTACCGATGCAGCAGATACTCTTTCCCCTGAAATATGAACCTGTTGAACAGGTGGATACTTCAGCGAGGAGAGACCAGTTTCCCCATTGGTACCAGTAGTACCTTTACAAAAATACACATGAAGAAACAAATTCACACTTTGTAATTAATCGCTTTGAATACTAACATTTGGTCATATTTAGTCACCAAAATACATAATAACATAATAAGTATCCACTCCTACTGAAAGGGAAACGTAAAATCCGTCGCCCAATCAGAAGCTTTCCTCTGTGAGGAAGGAAATGCTCGAGTGACCGTGGAAACGTTTCATGTGGACAGGGACTTTATCCGATTCTAAAGCTGGTCATGTGCAAATATTTATTACTCTCAACGTGATGAAAACGAAGATGATAACCGTGTCAGTCCCTCTCCCAACAGGGCTCTTTAAATGTTCTCAGCTTTCAGCCCCGTTAATTTTGTCCTTCTGATGAGTAATTCTGTACACTTCACAAACTGACTGAACTTACAATGAATGAAATGACAAAATCCCCTAAACTTCAAAACTACCTGCTGGAACACAAACACACCTCACTCACTCACGTGGCCACTGATCCAAATACATTAAACTCTATAAAAAGGACCTCGTTGGATTGTCGCTTCCAGAAAGCTAAAAGATTTTACTTTTTTTGTAGGGATTTGTAGAAACTGAACTAAACCGTTTTCACTATTCAAATACCACAGAATGCTGTTCTGCGCCCCAAAAATTACATTTAAAAAACAACATTTTTGTAACAATGTTCACAGCACACAGAAGCCACCCAACCATCCATCATCCACCAACGTGTGGTGCCGTTTATAACCCAACCCAGCCTGCAGCTCACGTGGTGGATGCATCAGCAGGGTTGGAGCCTGCCTGTGTGACCTGTTCCGATGATGTGCATAATCTTCATCAGTTCAATAAAAGATCAGAGCTGCTCTGAAATTCCACATTTCTGCCTCCGTACCTGCATCCTGACCTAAGTTTATACTGCTCAGAAGATTCCTACATTACAGCTTCCTGATTTTCCACAAACAGGAAAACTGATGTTTGTTATTCTACATTTCTAAAATGTTAAAAACATGAACCTTAACTTTTCCCTGTGTTGTAGTGAACTACGTTTTACCCCATATTTTTTTAATTAATTAAAAAAAATCCTAACTAATATTATGATTAACAATGTGGATGCGAGCGCTTACATCCAGCCCTTGAGCAGTGAAGTGATTGTGCCGAACACGAGGGAGAACTTTCTGTATTGTACATGTATGGTGACTTATTTTAAAAAAAAAAAAGTTAAAAAGTGTGCGCACGAGGCCCTGAACCTTTGTGACAGCTTGAGACCCTGAGACAAAGTGCTCGTTACTTTCTCGGGATGGTTACAGTCACTCCGTCTGCTGTGCGTCTATCTGGTGTTTATGCAAGCAGCACCGCCTGGAACGCTCTCAGTTCACCAAAAAGGCACGTCAAAGACCAAAAACCGGAGGCCGAGCGCAGATTCACATCAGCGTCACCGCAGCAGGCCTCTGGTTTTAATCATGGAGCGGTTTCTATGGCTTCAGGGTGGTGTAAAAAGGGATTATTCTCTATAAAGATGCTGTGTGGTTGTAGCTGAGGCTCTCGTGCGTGTTCATTTCTTCCCAAGTTTGTCCGTTTACACCGTGTCCTCATCCATCCTGGAGACTTCGTCCAATGTGACAGCTGCCGGTACGCCATCCTCGCTCGATTTTGCCGGAGAAGAAGGCGGCAGCATGGCAGCACGCTCCTCTTTGGGCTCCTCCCTCTCTTTTCGCTCCTCCGCTTTCTTTTCTCGGTCTAACAGGCGGTAGTTGATGCCCATTCCCACAAAGAGGAAGATGCTTCCTATAATGAGGACGATGCCGGAGGTGATGTAGGTGTAGTTATAGTGGTGGTAGTAGTTATAGAAGCTGCCTGGAGGTGGGCAAAAGAAAGGAGATTCAGATTTTATGATCTGCGTCAACATTTTAACAATTATTACACCGATAATCTTTGACGTCAAGTTTTATAACCAGCCCAAATCTCCACCCTCCCTCTCCCTGGGATGTCTTACCTGTCAGTGGTGGGCCCAACAGCACCGGCCCACACTCCACGATGGTGACTAAACCCACAGCTGAAGAAAACCTCTGAGCCCCCACCAGGTCCATCAGCGTCTCAAACAGCACAGAACTCAGCCAGCCAAAACCAAAGCCAAAGAAGATCGCGTAGACCACAAATCCCGAGTAGTCTTTTGAAATCGGCGCCAGCACGTGACACACACCGTTGTACATGACAGATGCAGCAAAGTAGTACTGGATCCTGGGCCGGACCCATTTGGTGTTCGCCAGCAAGCCCATTGAGGGCCGAGCAAACATGTCGATGAACGCCAGTATTGACAGAAGGAAGGCCGCCTTTTCTTTGCTGATGTTGTTACTCTTTGCGTAATTGGAGAGGAAGACGAGCGGAGCAAAGAGACCAAAGAACATGATGAAGTTGCCCAGCAGGTAGAGCAGGAAGCCGCGGTGCTTGAAGAGCGTCAAGTCGATGAAGGAGTTGATTTTCTGCAGCACCGTCCTCTTGGGCTGAGGCTGCCCTGCTTCCACCGCCTCCACTTTGGGCGGCTGAGGTTTGGGGCCGATGGGACGCATTAGCGAGCCGGCCACGCAGCAGTTGAGCAGGAGTCCGCCGAGGATGAGGAAGCTGCCTCTCCACCCAAACTCATCGTACAGCCAGGAGTTGAGAGGAGCCAAGGTCGACAGAAACACGGGGCTGCCCGCCATGGCGAGGCCGTTGGCGATGGGCCGGCGCTTGTAGAAGTATTTACCGATCATAGTGAGCGCCGGATTCAAGTTGAAGGCCAGTCCCAAACCTGGAAACGAGGGCACAGAAACAACATTAACAAGAAAACAAAACTTGTCTCAGCCATCAAAGCAAAGTGTCCAGATTTCCCTCATTTTGAGGATTTACTCAAGAAAACTGATGAAAAACAAACCTCCAATTACTCCGATGAAGAAGTACAGCTGCTGCACCGTGTTGCAAAAAGAAGCTGCAACCAGACCAGACCCTGACAGACAACCGCCGAGGATGATGATCGGTCGGCTGCCGAATTTATTCACGAGGATGCTGCTGATTGGACCTGGAGAGGAACAAGAGGACGGTAAGAAAGAGAACCATCAAGCACAAAGTAGAGTGATAGAAGAACAGAGTTTAATATTTAAAGTACATCTGTGGCCAATATTTCGCAGCCAGCACAGCAGGTAGAACTAACAAGCTGGTTCAGCAATTTCCCATTTTTCACCAAAGAAGAAGAACATAAACTTTTTGATCCGTGCCAGTTTAATTCCACCCAGCTTTTGAGCTCAAGTACAGATTTTCTTTTCTTCTACCATGTCAGAACTAACTACGGCATTTTCCTTCTTTTATTTATTTATACATACATGAGATTTAATCTTTGGTTTAAATAAAATGAGTTACTTAAGATGTCTCCTTGAGTTGCTATTAGGATTATTAAGAATTCCACCTTTTTATGCTGCACTGAAAACAACTTGAAACCATTTCATGATAAAAACCAGCAGGAAACTGAAAATCTGTTTACTGATATTTTAACTCGTGTTTAATACGGTTAAATCCCCTTTAAATCAATTAAAATGACCAGAAGCCAGATAAAAGTTAATCTAATTTATATTTGTTGAGCTCCTGACATGAAATACTACTTTTAATAACTGCGTGATGGACTGCCTCTGGTAACACCACCCACTCAAACACGTGTCTCAAGTTTATGCCACATCTACACCATCAAAGAGTAAATACTCAAACAAAAAAGTGTAAATTAGATTTAGGGCATCTTACAGACATTTTAAGACCTTAAGATAGTGATGTGTCCTGTGTGTCGAAGCGTCGAATCGTGTGTCGGGTAATCTCGGGGGCGT